CACTCCAAAACAAACAAAAAAACAAACAAACAAGCACAACAAAATTCACACAGCCAACCAAGAAAAAATGACCCCGAAAAGAATTCAACCCTCACATTTTCTAGATCTTATTAGTTGGCCATACCGTCGGGCATTTACTATTCATAGTAGTTTAAATCGGGTGTTCTTGTGTAAAACATACCAGTAAAACAGCCAGCATCATATCGTAGTTGTTGATTAGGAAAATAAGCTGTTCTTTCCTTAAAGGAAACTCGGCGGCCATGCGCAAAATGAAGTTCTCGACCTCGACTTGTAAAGCTGCAAGGACTTTGTTTACCTTGAAAAAAAATTGGTTAATAGAGGAGATTACCACAGGAAATTTTTCACCTAAAGTACAAAATAAAATTAAGAAAGAGGTCACAGTAAGTGAATTAAATTTAATTATTCTAACCTTCTCATCTGGAAAACTTTCATTCAAGCTGACAATCGCGGCAGAAAACTCTGCATATCGACGGGTTATCTAAAAAAAACACATTTGAAGAAAACTGAATAAATCAAGATAAATAAATAAAGGGGCTAAGTTTCTAAAGAGACTGTGGTGATGTGTTGGTGGGAGAGTGTAACAGGGTAATTTAGTGTAATCAAGTGATTACACTGATTAACGATACGATCGCTCTGACGAAGGGCCAACGCTTGAAACGCCAGCCTTTAAAGTCTTTACGGTGGCCAATTTACGTTATCAACTCATTTGATTACACTAAATTACCTTGAAGAAATCAAGATTACTTTCTACAAACAATTTAGTACTACACTTCAAGACTTTCATATAAAAATCTGTGCATGTCACGCGTTTGGCTCAAGTCACGTATGAAAGAGATGAACATTATCATACGTAACGCGAGAGTATATAAACTTTTTTTGTTACACGGTGTTCTACGAAGCCGGTAAAAATGCAAAGAATAGTTAGAAGCAGTGCTTACGTAATGTGGTCTGATGTCGATCACTCCAAGTCTTTGAGGATCTGTGTTACGGACACTGTCAACATTTAACTCTACTACGTACGTGAAACGTGGCCATGACATTTCCAGCACTGTGTCCCAATACCTGGTGAGGATAGCCACAAAATATTACATATGATTACAACGTAGACTTCTTATGAACAACTATTACGTGGTTGAACTGTTTGGCTGATGACAAAGCAAACTTTATGTTAACCCCTTTAACTCCCAAAAGTGATTAGCATGTAACTTCTCCCTACAATATCCAAACATTATCCTGTACACAGGTAATGAGAATATTCAAACTAATCGGGTGGAAGTTGTTATCTTGATCCAACACCAAATTCTCGTAACTGCGGATTTACAAGGAGATGTGTTGCAGTTAGAGGGAAGAATTAACAATCAAATCTTGGGACTTAAGGGGTTAATCCCGGTACTCTTTCCTGGTTGATAATCACTTACTTGTCCAGAGCCGGGACGCTTCTCTTGTGCATCAGTATTCTGTATCGGTGTACAATGTGTATACACAGGAAGATTCCAATAGCGTCAAAACAGCTCTCTAAATATGTGTCCATTTGTTTCTGATTTGGAAAACAAAGGCAAACAAAATTAGTAAGTACTTCAGCCCACTCTCTGAAAAATATTTTAGCAGGGAAAAAACAGTGGCAAAATAATGATAATAATAAAAAAATTAAAACGTTTCGGTCTCTTTAAAGACACAACACCTTTGTTAACAGTCACTGTAACGACTTGACAACAATGGGAAAACTGAAAGCACCTTCGCCGATTTCATTTTATGTCTCTCAAAAGATCTCTTTGAAACAAACCTCTATGACATAACTTACCAGAAATAAGGATAATGTTTTGCCGAACACAGCGGTAAACAGATCTCTTGCTGAGTTTTTCTGTACCATGAAAAAGTCAGCTAGGAATAGGTATTCACGGCAGCTGTTATCCAGTAAAGCAAAGTGCATGCTGCGAAACAGACTTTCAAAGGAGTGCTGTAAAAAGAAGAGATTAACAAACGGTTCGAAATACTCTCCATCATCATGGGTAAAGCTCAAACAATTACACTACATTTCCCCCGAAATAAATTGACAGTAAGTGTAAGACAACAAGACGCGTCAATAACCACACAACCCAGTGCAAAATATATTAGTGTAGTGGAAATCAACCCGCCTCGGCTAAATCAGAATTCGAGATAACAAGTTACTTCTGCAAAAAAATTCCAATAGTTTTTTTTTATTATGCGATGGTCAACAAATAGCAAATTTTAAGCAAATGATGAAGTAAATGAAAGCTTTTTAACAGTAGACATTCTGTTTCAGTGTGGCCATTGACTCTCTCACCTTCTTTTCGCTCTTTTGCGCCGCATGAGGCACGATCACGGGTTCTTCTAACTCTGATGTTAAAACACTGCCACGGCTTCCTAGAGTAAAAATTGTGGAACGATTCTTTAAAGCAACTCTTCCAGAGAAAATACTTAAAAAGAATTAAGGAAAAATCCGGTTCAGCTGATAATGCTACACTTATAAAATTGAATAAGATCCCAGTTGAAAGGTTTTGATGGCCCCTAAGTATCCTTCTGTCCCATTAAGTCATATTCACAATGCCATCACAAATTACACCAATACAACTAAAAAAAACTGAATTACATGTTCATTTAGAAAAGGATATCTCTCTTAGCGTTATCCTCAATTCCCATAAGGTCGTCTCTATCCGCCTGTTCTTCGAACTGAGAATAAAAAGTACAATGATAAATGCACAAATGAAAAAATGGACACTATGTTGGCTTAAAGGTTACGCGTCAACTTGAAATTCTTGCAGTCATAAAGAAAAACAGGGGATATTTTTTTAATCCAGAGTGACATAAGATAATATTGGCGAGACGGATTCAGAACTTGGCGAGTCCTTTGTTACAGAACAACTTGACCCCATGAGCACGGAAAGTTGTGTTGTGTGATCCCACCGATGGGAAAATTTTCGCGTGCTTGCAAAAAAAAAATGGGACGGAAATCAACCAAGAAAAGGTGATATTTGCTCACCTGCAGCTTGAGAAGTTTGGAAATGTACGTTTTAAAATATGAGAAATAAATCTTGCTCATGGTGTCGATGTACTCATCCTTTATTTCCCTCGCAACTTGACGATGATGCGCCGTAAGAAATTCATTAAAATACCTGGCAACGATAAGAAAATGAACAAGCTTCAGTCGGCATCTGTCACTCAAGCACTATTCAGAGGGAATGGGGTAACTTTCTAAATTAATTTTAGTTCAGTGTTGGTGGAGGGTATTGCAAGATAGTTTGTTTTAACGTAAATTGGCCACTGTAAAGAGTTTCTGAAGCTGACGTCTCGAGCATTAGCCCTTCGTCAGAGCGAAAGACGAAGCGTACATGCTGGAATCGTAAGCTTTAGAAACTCTTTACGGTAGCCAATTTACATTATCAACTCAATTGATTAAAACCAAATCACCATTTAGACAAGGTGAGCTTTTCTTTAAATTTTCTCTACTTGATGTTAATTCTAAGCTTATAACTAAAAGTTAGGCTGTCTCTTCCTCCCTCGATTTCCACGAGTTTTGCTTTCCCGTGTCATTAATTGGCGAGAAAATGGAGCGAGGTTTTTACATTAGTACCTGAGCGATGAAAAGTAAAACAAATACGTAGATTTGACGCTCAGTTCAAAACAGTCCCGACATAATATTAAACCGAAAAAAATTAAATACCTAAATTTGAGTAAGGCATTTTGTGGAATCTGATAATTAGTCATCGGGCGACGAAATTGATATATCCTCTGCAACACATAGTCTCGTATCTTGTGCACTGCCTGGAAATGAATAGAACAGTAAATTCATGGTACAGTTTTACAATAACGCTTGAGAAATTGGTTATAAAACAAAGGAGGATATTTGCATGTCATTACACTCTAGGTATTGCTCTCAAAAGAGATCATGTATCAGATACTTACACTAATTAACCTGTTATTAGTCTTAATTAGGATCTTTTGAAAGTAAGTACTGAAGGGAATCATGAATCCGTTTGGAATATCATACATTTGGGCCTAAAACGACGGATGGAAGTCCCAAGAAATGGGTCGCGAACTCGCAAAAAAGAGTTTCAGAGAATAACCAAACCCTGAGGCCCGGTTATTCACTCAAGGTCTAACCTACACCACGGTTTTACGTAATCGGTGGGCCTAGCTCAGGCTTTCTCTACACGAGAGTTGATTTATTCGTTGTTCACAAATTTAAAGGTTCAGATAAAAGGTTCAGCTAAATTAAGAATTGTATAGGACGCGGATCTGTTAAACAACAGCCAAACTTTGCTTAAATAGTTAGACCTGAGAATCGGTGATCTTGAGCCTTCGACGTTCAAAGGTCGATGAGAAATGAAATGGGTTTACGCCGTTTGAGTGCGACTGTCTGATCGGGCAGTACTATGAATCCACAAACAATGAACTTCACGTCTGGTACATTACCTTGCCTTTCAGCATCTCCAGTATATGTCCCACATCATTGACCGAGAGAGCCCCTTTAAAAGATTGCTCTTTTGCAAAGTCGATCTTGTGGTGTAACTCGTGCAGTTGTTCAATGAATGCCTGCTCTGTCACTGGTGTCTCATTAATGTGTCTGTAATATAAAAATTTATTTTACCACTACCAGAAAAACTCTCCCACGCGTTTTTCGACTGCGTGTCGTAAAATCTGAAGTTAAGTAATCAAGACTTCCAATGAGTACAAAGGGAAAGTCGAGAAGCTGAAGGGAAAACTTGCAAGACCCTTTACTGTGTGCGAGAATCATAATGCACGTCCTAGCTCAGAATGAATCTCTCAAGAGAGAATTGTATCGTACGGGTGAGGCGGTAAGTTAAGATATTTGTCCTGCACTTCAAGGATGTTTAATTCTACAGATACTATTTCCAAGGGAAAAATAAGAATGATTTCAAACTGATTAAAAAACTTAGCTCAATCAAAACGGCTGCGAATCAAGTTTTCGAGTCTTGAAATTGAAAAAGCGAGACTGGTTAAGAACAGACCGCGACACGGCAAATTTATTCAGACACACCAAACTACAACTTCATTACAATTACAAAAGAGAATTCCATCTACGGAAAAAAGAGAGTAAAAAACAAAAAGCGTGAACATCAATCGTGAGATTCTACCGAGATTTCAAAAGGAATTGAGCCGATACCTGCGCACGTAACAGCCTGGAAGCTGTTCGCATTTGCACTTACATACGTAATTAACTCAGGTGAGAAAGAGCACAAGTGCTCACACAGATGAATTGGTTTGTTTATCATTTTAATTTGCTGGCAATTTTTCATTAATAATTTACATTAACAATTCATATGTTAAAGCGAACTTTCAAGGGTAGACGGCTTGAAAGCAGTTAATTCGAACCTTTCGCCAGCTCGAACTTGAAGCCAATTCCTTTGAGGAACACTTTTTTTCACTTTCAGTCTGCTAACTCGAGCTTCTCGGTGTGTCGAGCTAGCAGGGTTCGATATCCTTCTCGCTTAGGCAATCATTGAACTAAAACAGTGCTGGAAAAAACGGGAACTTTTTACTGTAAATCAACTCCATCCTAAAATCTGTCATCAATAAGTGATTAACGAATGTTACCCTTTTCGCATTTCAAACGCTGGTTGTTCCACATCTTTCACAATCAGCCTTTGCCTTGCCATACAAAGGTCTCCCTATCCCTGGACTGTGTGCACTAAAAGCAGTACGTCTCTGCGTCGAGTTGAGCGACGATGAAGATTGTGAAGTAGCTCCTGAGGTTCCGAAAAAACTCTGCCAAACTTGTAAAAACGCTCGGCGATACTGGGAGACTCTCCAAGCGTAGATGAAGGGATTTATGGCCGAATTTATGTACAAAAATCTGGAAGACGCTACGTCGATCTTGTGAAAAGTTACCGATTGCTGGCAGCGATTGCAAAAGTACAACAAATGAAGAGTGACGTATTGTGGAATATATGTGATGTAAAACAACGCTAGAATGATTGCAATAGTAATGGCCATTCGTCTCTCACGTTCTAAGGAGTACCTCGCGACAGAATCGTACCCACCAGTTTGAAGTTCACGCGTTTGAGAAACGAGAGAGAGGAAAACGTTGGCGTAGATGAACGTTAAAAATACGGCAGGCAGAGAAATGTGAGTATGAAGGTATATAAGTGTGTACGTTTCCTCTGATAAGCGAGTTAGAGGAAGTGAACACATTGCGATGGATGCAAACCATAATACAGCGATAAACACCTTGAGTCTTCCCTTTGTAATAATTGATTTGTAATCCACGGGAGAGTTGATCGCTACGTAACAAGCTATTGACATGGCGATAATGGAATAACTGCTTACAAATAGAGTCGTAGAGAGCACTGTGTACACGATCGACTTAAAAACCACAATGTGAGGTATGTGTTCGAGTCTAGATCGAAACACATCTCTCAAAGCAACCAGGAAAACATTCAAAGACCCCAACAGAAGATCAGACAGGCTCAAATTTGTGATCAGTAAAACCGCAGGTAATTTTCGGAGCGACTTTTGAGGATCTTTATATGTCGTGAAGAGCAGGGCTGAATTTGCTATAATAATGATACTCGCTAAAATGAATCCTGCTGCAGCCAAACTCGACCAGTATGCTTTGTCCACGATTATCGTCAGATAAAAATCGTAATTTGGATCAGAGGCATTCAACATTGTCTTACAAAAACGAAGCTGAATCGAGTGACGGTGGTTGGTGTTTTAGTATCAACTTACTAGACCAACGTGCTCTATACATACTATCAAAAACTTGACTAAATAATTACGACCACGCATATTCATTTTAAAACGAAATTTTGACACGTATCTTGTCCTACGTCAATACAAAAACAGCCTGCTCAAAATGCTAATTTTAATTTTACTGTTTTTCGCGGCATCATCTTTCAGTTTATCAACAAACAGCCCATTATTGCACTCTTTGACGATGACGAACTTGTTGTTTTTTCGCTTAAAAAGATGCAAACCTCCACGAATTTGGATTTTCAAAGTTTAAAAAAGGGATGAGAAAGTCGCATTTTACAACGGCTTTTCGACTAATTTCGATTATAAATGAAATCACCCTACCATGAAATTACGTGCAGTATTACATAAACCGGTAAAACAAAAAAACAGCATAACCTTAGGCAGTATTAAAGGAGAATTTTGAGCACTGCAGGTTCCGTCACCCATTTTTGTATAAGCCAAACAATTTAGCAACTGAGGATACGTGCAAAGTTTCTTTTTTTCTTGTACATATTTTAAAGTGTTATTCAATAATTACCCCTTCCTATAACAGACATGACGTTTCGAACGAAACTTTAAAACAGGTTCGAACCAAGTTTAAGAGAAAAGGAAGTTTGAGATATCCAGGATTAGGCGTGATTTGACTCATGACCATCTTTTCTCTTTTGACCGGGGATGTTCATGAAAGTTTGTCTGGTTGATGTCAGCCTAGCAAATTGTGAAACAATTTTACATAACTGAAAAAGGACACTGCAGGATATTAATCAGGAGTCTGACAGGTGTCCACATTCTCAAGTATGAATTTTTTAGAAAAAGTAATGACGAAGACCAAAAGTATCCTCTAGTTATAAAGAAAGATCGAGATTATCCGTCAGACAGTCATTCCATGAATAGAGTGCTTTTCGATTGAGCGTCGTAAAACTAAAGTTATCTATCACAATAAAGGGGCTACGTTTCTAAAGAAACTAGTGCTGCGTCGGTGGGAGAGTATAACAGGTAATCTAGTGTTGACAAATGAGTTGAAAACGTAAATTGACCACCGCAGAGAGTTTAAAGGCTGACGTTTCGAGTGTTAGCCATTCGTCAGAGCGATTACTGTAACTATCACAATAGCCAACCACAAGTGGCCAATGACAAGGTAGAGTAACAGCAACTGCGTAAATTGTGGGAAAATGTGGTTTACTTACGTAATCATGGAGGGTGGTACCACTATGTCACCAACAAACTGACTCAATTCACCCTTGATAGCCTGAGGAGAGAAATAAAGCTGAAATAAAACTCGAGTCAATCAAAGTACAGAGAAGTCATATCTCAAGATGGAAAGAAAAAAAAAAAAAAGAGTGGAAAGATTTTGAGGACTAAGATTGAAAGGAGAACATTAGGGTAAAGAGAATTGAAGAGAGGAGGATGGAAGAACAGGAAGTACTTTAAGGAACAAAACAGCACAAAACAGAATGCAGCATGAAGAGATGGAGGAAATTAAAAAAGAATTGAATGTGAGAACAAGGTTAAGACTTAATAATTTAAATAATTAATAATATGAAATCAAGTCAAGGCTCAAGGTTAGTGTCAAGTTTGAAATGACCTCCAGGAGTGAACAAACATACATACATGTAATAAGATAGACATAGAATGCAAATGAACTAAAATGTTTATGGTACATGCTCAGAGTTCTGCCTATGTTCATAGCCTGGTGAGGTTTCTCAACATGTAACGACTACTCACCTGTCTATTCTTTAGCTTTATGTTCATTGATAAAGACTGTTCTTGGAGAGTTTGGATTTCTGAGCTTATGCTACCAAGATCTTCCTGGTGAATGGATGGAAACAAGCAAGGATATATTTTAATGTTGTGTATCCCCATTTTTAACTTGTAGATTGCTGTGCATGACTGCTAAATCCCAATTAATTCCAAAAAAGAACACACCATAATTAAAACAAGAATAGGCCTGTGATACGATAAATTTACAGCAAAAATCACAACCAAATATGTTGACGATTTTGAAGCATTCAAACAAGCTTGATCTTCATTTTTATCTAGTTCTCATTATGAACATACAAAGAGGAACTACAGATACAGTTTGATATTTGTTCAGAAAATTTAACCCAAAAACAAGTTGTTATTGTGGGCCAATCATTTAAAGATAGTTAAGCTGCTGTTTAATAAAACCGTGTCCTAAACAATCCTCAATTTAGCTGGACCTTTATCTCAACATTTATTTAAGCTTACAGTGGAAGGACATTTATTCAGTGAAATCAACCCTCTTATAGAGAAAGCCTGAGGATCACTGGTTGCCTAAAAACCATGGTTTGGGTTAGACCTTGTGTAAATAATCAGCCTCATATGTTCATACCTGGAAACTTGTGAGCATCTTTTCCATACTCTGCAAAACAAGAAAAGAACTAACTTAAGTTGATACATCTTTTCTTTAACCCTTTAACTCCCTTGAGTGACCAAGACAGAATTTCTCCTTACAATATCAATACAATATCAACCAGATAAGTGATGAGAATAAAGAAAAATATCAACCTGGGGATAATTAGTTGATCCGATACTAAATTCTCTGAATTAACATTGTAAGAATTGTATGGTTGACAGTAAGGAGAATAACAAATTTGATCTGGGAGTTAAAGGTTTAAAGCAAAAGAATTGAATCTATAAACTGAGGCTTGGCATTGTTTGTGTTGTCTTCCGTTTGAATGAATGTTGAAAAGAGTTGCAGTATATTAAAGGATGTAGAGAAAATACTTTTGATACTAATGATTTTGTCATTGAAATAAACAATGTACTGTAGACTAGGGTACCTTGAAATCATCAAGACCAAACCAAGAAAGAAAGGGTAAGAAGAAAGGTACAAAAAATTAGAACTGTCCATAGATGGCAAAAAGTTTTTGTACTTTGTGCATTTTTCTTCAACACTTGTTGAAAATGTACCAGGTATTAACTGAAACTGTATTTGATGGGAAACCTGATAAATATCATACTGAAAATATCAACTCACTGCAAGAATCGTGTCACAGGAGGCAATCTGGTTGTGAAGGCTTGCAATATTCTCACTCTCTTTGATATCTTTGATTGCAGTCAAGTAAAAAAAAAAAATTAAATAAAATGGATTTCAGAGAAAATCAATCAGTATATGAAAATGCTCAGGCTGTAAAATAAAATAGAGTTACTACATTATGCACTGTATGAATCCAGTTGTTATCAATAAGTGAATAAGACTTCTAAAAGCGTAGGATACAGTCCAGAATTGATGCATTTTCAACCTCATGTAGGTCTCCCTCAATCTGTCTTGAATACTGCCGGAGGTCTACTCCCTGAATTTTAAAATAATGATCAATAAGGTACAGGATACTATAACATAATGGCAATTAGTAAACTATTAAAAGAGCGGCTAAGGATGTGTTGCATCTTAGAAAAAAACGGTAACTGAACAAATGCATTTTTCAGAAGCACCTCTTTTACATTTCCCAACCTCTTTTTCCAAAAAATAAAAATACCATTCTGCTTACTTTTTCCAAAGCTTCCTTTACCAACTCGTCCTCTAAATTTTCTTGTATGTGCACTGTTAAAATGAAAAAAAGAAATGAGCAAAACTTTTACATAATATGACACGGCCTTGTTTGTTCCTCTGACGAATGTCAATTCCTAGAATCAATTTCTGCCGTTTTCTAACTAAATCCATTTTTATTTTTCTTGGTTAAAGTTTGAAATATTTTTCTGCAGCGGATTAAAAAAAAAATCGAAAACTAGTTTTAAACCATTCTGAGTTTAATTTTATAAACATTCTGACAATCATGAACTTTTATAAAGATATGCTCCACATTTCCTTCCATACCATCAACTTCGTCTAAAATAAATTCATCTTGAGACGTGAGGTCCAGTTCACCTAGATCTAGGTCAACCTGTAGATCCTAAGAGAAAGAATCAATAAACTCTTGTGTCGTTCAGATACAACCTAGTCAATAAACTACTGAAGATAGACTGAACCTCGAAATCCTGCGGGCATAATATTTTTCATTTTGTGACATGAAATCGCAATGCTAATAAACGAACAGAAAAGAAAACTATTATAATTTTAAATTACTTCATCTGCGTCTTCGACGTCGTTGGAATCCCCTTCGTTTGTATCTCGAATGCCTGTATTATCTTCATTTTCTTGATGGCTGTCCGCCATCTTGGATCTTCGCTGGCACCAGACGTAGACGGCGTGTATGGTACACTATTGTGTATCATTTAATCTTCATGATGACTCTGGCAGCTATATGAAGTATATTTTGCTCCAAGAAAGCCCGCTGTTAAAGGCAAGGGAGCAAAACAAATAGCGTTATGTTCGTTACGTTACTTGACCTCATTTGGAGCTATCGTAGAGCGTGATCCTTTCCGTTTCAGAATGACCCAGTTCAATTTCCGCTCCACCCCTTGGAATGCTCGTACGGGCCATAAATTGGAAGTTAGGAGGATTTCGCAAGCATTAGCATTCCTGTCTCCTTTAAACCCACGGCTCTTTGTGTTTGATTCAAAGGGCTGACTAAATTACCACTACTTGATTAGCGAAAAGAAGTTTTAGCAATGGGAAATTTAATTGGAATTGACTCTCACAAGAAGCAACAGATCGAAGGTAAGACTTGTGAATGTAAACATACGCAAATAGTTGAGATTTTCGTGCCTGCACGTTCAGTGAAGTTGTAAATGTTGGAACTTTATCGAAATTACACACTGATCGACGTTCGTGCGACTACTTTAAGAACAAGCTTTTTTTAACAAACAGGAATTAATTACCGCAGTGAAAGCAAGAAAATTGCTCCTTTCCTAACTCAAGTATTTCGGTACTCGTTTTGCGATCACGCTCAGCCTAGTTATCAATCCACTGAATGCAGACAAAAATGTTTTCAGAAACTGATGTGTAATGAAACTGAAACTTATATAAAAAAAATTTGGAAGATTATTTTTTTGCATTGTAGTCAAATTAAGTGCAACGTGTAATGTCATTTTATTGCTCAATATACCTGGTTTAGTTCAACATAATTGACCTGACTGGTTTGTGGAGATTTGTCGGAACTTGTAGTTGATCATCCTCTCTTCAGCTGAATCGATATTTTGCCATTTCTGGTCATATGTAGAAAATCAATACGTATTTCCGGGAGGAAATAGCGAAGAGAGCAGTCAACGTCGTGAAAGTGATTACATGGGTGTACATGTATATTCGTGTCCCACCCAATTCAATAGCAGCTTTGACAGATACATCACATAATTAGGAAGTGATTCAGCTAGATTCAGCACGAACCAATTCGTACCTGATGGAATGCCCATATATTTGTTTTGATTGATAAAATTATTATTTTTCTACACTTTGTTAAAAAATTTATTGTTAAAATATACATGTAATTGATATTTACAGTATGTGACTGATCACTCACGATAAATTTTCGTTGATTTGTTCCCCTCCCTTTATTACACGTGTGTTTTATAACCATCAGCAGTTTCAGTTTGAACCGTGAAGTAATTGGGTCAGTAATTGTATGCACAACTGTCAATATACATGTTCCACTGTGATAGATATTTTTTTACATTGTTATTTTATGTAATTCAAGGTTTGTGAACATTATTTATATTTCTCAAATAATTGTGCCCTTTTGAATAATTTCCAAACCAGTTTGAGTTTTGTTGTCTGTGTCTCCTTTTCAATTTCATTATTGGGAACAAAGGAAATTGAAAATCAAAGGGATTTAGACCTTTTTTTAAAATTTAACTGGTAAGACATTGATAACACAGGAAATATCCTATTTGCTTGGGTTTTTTTCACTGTAGTGTAAGGAGATGGAGGCAAAGGGGGTCCTAATCCTATTTCAAGCACAAATTAAGGAATCCCTTATATTTTTAAATAGCATTTCACTTGTCAAATTTAAAAGGGAAAACTTACAAATTCCTCCTTTTGTGTGTAAGGTTTCAAGGAAATTTTGAGGTTTTCACGAAATTAAAGAGAAATAAATTCACAGGTCACATCATTATATTTCAGGAGGCAAATTATACTGTACCTTACTCTGGTTTAAAAATTCAAGAATCATGCTCATCCTCTTGTAAAAATTCATGACTTCATCTCATCACAATTAAACCCTTCACTACCTTCTAAGGATAAAAGAACATGTAGCATTCATACATGTACTTGTATTATTGCCAAACAATTTTTTTCCTTGCTTGCAGACATTGCTCAAGAATTTCTACAAGAGTTTACGTTAGCCTACAACACAGCCTATGGAGTTGAATACACAAAGTTAACCTTGAAGGAAATTGATGCAGAATCCTTTGCAGAAGAAAAACCAGCTTATCAGTTAATGCAGAGATCAGTAAGTTTTTTTTTTGTATTTCTTATGAGGCCTGCAAACATTACTTTAGGGTTATAGATGCCTCAAGATTCCCCCGAAAAAGCAAAGTAGTAGGTGAAGTTTCAGAAATTTATCCAGGTGCATAAAAGAACTCATACATAGTAATGATCTTTGAAATTCTGTATTCTTTAATTTGTTTCAGTGGGATAGTATCAAAAATCCATTAAAAATGGGGTATCTCACAAAGAAAGGAGCAGTTGTCAAGAACTGGAAGAGACGTTACTTTGTGGTTAATCCTGATTACTCTGTTGACTATTTTGAAAATGAAGAGGTACGCAAGTTATTAATACTACTATTACAATCATACTATTATCACCATCACTATCATTAACGATATCATTATCACTAACCTTTTAAGCCTTTACTATCAAGATCTGATTTTAAATTCTCCCCTCTAGCTGCTACACATTTCCTTGTCAATAAAATAGAAGAATTTGTGACCTCTCACGCGAAAACGTTCCTTACCGTATCCGTTCGAATGGTCGAACGCACGGTATGTGAACGGATGACAAATGGATAGAGAAACCTTTTTAAACGGATGCCGTGAACGGCTGAACGGCTTCAGAAAAATTTTTGAATGGATAGCTCAAGCCATTTGAAAGGCTCCCAATCTATTTGAAACGGATAGCTCCAGCCGTTCAAACGGCACCTAATTGTTTTTGAACGGATAGCTCAAGCTGTTCAAACAGCATCCCATCCCATTTGAACGGCTGATGAACAGCTTACGAACGGCTATCCATTTCAAAACGGCAAACCGTAAGGAACGTTTTCGCGTGAGAGGTCACATTTGGTGTTAGATCAGGATATAAACTTCTACCTGATATGTTTGAGTATTCTCATCACCTGTTTGCTTGGTAATGTATGAAGATTATAGGGAGAAGTTTCATTTGAATCACTTCTGGAAGTTAAAGGGCTAACTTCTAAGATCCAATTTAAAATTCTCCCTACTTACTGCCACACTTTTCCTCGTAAATTAGACAAGAGAATGTAGTCTTATTTCAAAATAACATGGCCTTTAGCTGATAAGCTTGTCTTTACTAATAACCCATTAGCATGATGCACATAACATATTGGAATTGCACAGAAAAGTTACATGTTAATTATGTCAGAGTCTGAATTCTATTGAAAAAATGTACAATTAAAACTATGGATTTTCTTGTCATGATTGTTAGACTGTGTCAAGGGTTTTGTCGTGTTGAGTAATCATGCTAAAGTGTTTTTCACTCACTGTGTTGAATTATTTGTGGACAGGCATATGAGAAAGGTTTCAAACCCAAAGGCACCATTTTTCCTTGTGGATATGAAGTCAATGGTAACTTGGATGAAACAATGGCAGAGAGAGTAAAGAATCTGGCAAAACAGATGAGTAAGACATTCTCAGAATAACTGTTTAATTAAAAGGAACTATTTAATACCATTAAGAGATGACAAATGATGCTTGTTCTTTTTATACCCATGTACAGAAGCTTGAAGTTTTTTTTACTTTTCTATTTTTATCATATTGACAATTATTCATGAGCTTACAATTAAAATTAAAAAACTTAATAAATAGTAATGTAGCATTGTTGACTTTGGAGACTAGAGTGCATACCAAATGTTCAGTCAGTTGATGTTGTTTATTGATAAGTGCATTGAATGTAGGAATGTATCAAGTGAAACAAAATTTACCCCTCCAAATCAGTTATAAAGTTAATAAAATACTTGATTTATTTTTCTCTAGTTTCATATACCTTTCTGTTGTGCATTTTCATGTTAATGAAACAATATTTATTAATTTATATTGTCTATATCTGTTGACATTGACCAGAGGTAGACGAGAAGGAGATAGGCACCCCAGAAAAGTACCCTGAACACACATTTGAGGTTTCCCATTCTAGAAGAAGGTCTTATCTCATCACCGCTGAAAATGATGAAGACAAGCATGCCTGGATTGAAGCTTTCAAAGTTTGTTGCAGAAAAGCTGAAGGTAAGCAAGGAATAAGACCAGTTAACACTGTAACAACTGGTTTTGACAGTTTGATACATGCACCTACTAACTTCCACTCCTGAGTTGTGAGAAGTATACTGTGAGAGTAAAGTGTCTTTCCTAAAAATTCAATCATAGGCAGAGCACACTACATGTTTGTGTTTTAATAATTGTTGACATGAGATGAACAAAATGTGTGAGGGTTATGTCACTAAAGCTCTGAAAATTGCATATCTTCATTACATCTCGGTCTGAATACCTCGAGTCAATGAAACTAAATGAAATGTTAATTGGTGCATTTGGGGTATTTTTTCACCCTAATGGGCTGTCTTTCCTCTCTTATATAATGGTCTCCAGCCAAAAGTAATTTCATCAAAAGATGCTTCAAATGGGCCACAAGGGCAAAAACAAAAAATATCTACAAATGCATCAATTAACATTTAATTTTATTGAGATAATTATTCAGACCAAGATGTAATGTAGATAATGCAATTTTTGGAGCTTTATTTGTAACCTCATCAATTTTCTCATCGATGCCAAAACCGTATAGTTACAATAATTATGATCATCACATGAGTGTGATCTATTATTGAACAGAGTGACATACTATACACAGCATCTGTATGTTAGCTTCAGTATACACACGTGCTGGAACTTTTTGAAGTAATTTGTTGGTTTACACCTCTGCTTTTTGTGTTTTTTGGCAAATGAAGGATTGAAAAGTGAAGATGCCGTGGGCCGTGCTGCTTTTAAAGTGGCTTTGTGGAAGACGTACTGGAGGTACAGAGTTGAAGGAACAGAGGAACAGGTACATATATTTTAAAATGTTTGCTTTGTCCATTAACTCAGCATGATCACCCCTGCCACTCATGACAGGAGAGTTTTTGATCTAGAGTCCAGGGTTCAGACCCCCAAGGTGTAGCAATTCCTCTTGGCAAAGTACATGTACCTCACTTGTCCAAGTTGTGTGTAAGCTTTTGTAACATAATTTTTCACTTCAATAGGTTCTCAGTGATATCCTTGTGGACAGGATCAACTATCGTGTCATGTCTGATGTGTACGCCGAGATTCGAGGAGGCTGGACAATGAAGCAAAAGATCAGAGAGCAGGTTGGCCTACTATCTAGTTTAAATAGGGTCCAGTCTGTTCTGTTTATGCATTGTGGCAGTTGTAGTTAGTCATTCCTTTGAAGTTTGTATTTAGTAATCAAAATGGACCATCAATTGAAAGAAACAACAGATATCACAGTAAGCCAGTGATAACTCAAAGTAATTACAAATTAATCAAACTCTCCAAAGAACTGGAAAACTCAAGTGTCCTAGAAGTAACTGGTTTTAGCTTTGTGTCTGGTTGGTTTAGAAGAGACCAGTGGTGACAAAAGTTTGCCAGACTAGTCAAAAGAGCAAAGTGAAGCAAAGTGTAATCAGGGATGACTTGAGACACCCATTCAAAAAGTCTCTCTATCGTAAGATAGGGTAACCACTACCCTCTTCAATATGAGCCTATTGTACATCATGAGATAGGTGAAAGTGGAGCTTGCTGTTTGGAAAATTCTTGTTGACTGAACCTTTATTTTAAAGGTTGTGAAGACTTTAGATTCTCTTGTAATGGCTATGGTCATTCCATCATGGAAAGGAATGCAGGAATCTTCTCAGCAAATGAAAACAGCCCTTGAGCCAACTATAAAAGACAAAAAGGATGAACTGGCTGCCGTGCAGCGCAAAGTCATGTGGGATTTATCAGGCATGTGCTGCATTTGTCTCTTCTGTCAAAACGTATTTCGTATCTGAGAGGAGTCATTCCTTTTGTTCAATGTAAGAACAGGGTTGTGGTATAATTGGAGTTCATTGGTGAAATTAATTTTTAATTTTCTCTAGAGCTTCTGAAAAGTACTGTGGAAAAAGTGTTGAAGGACATGGAAGAGACCATGAAAGAAATGAGTAATCTTTTAAGAACAAGGGTATGAATATTCGTCATTGTTATATTATTATTATTATTGTCATTATTATTATTGTTATTATTATTATTATTATTATTATTATTATTATTGTTACTATTACTATTGTCGTTGGTATCATTATTACTACATGTGCATACTGTTTAATTTTTCGAAGACTTTAACAATGCACTGACATCCAATATGCGTTTTAGTTGCTTTATCGTTTTTTAGTAAGTGTACTTGATGTTTTCTTTGATTTTGCAGATGGAACAAGGTTTGGCAGAGTTAAGGAAAATCTTCATCAAGAAAATCGATGAAGTCATTGAGAAAGCAAAGAACACTAATGAAATTGAAGCATCCTTACCTTCAGTAAGGGCTTATCTTGTCTATAATTGAGCAGATTGTCGATCATAGGAAAATAAAAGTGTGGTCTGGAAGCAATCCAGGTTTTTCTATCTAGCAGTGTATCTACAAGTGGTTATGAAATTCCAAAGAATTACCGAAGCTTCAAACGTCGTATCGGACGAACGATGATTTCAAAGTTTTAACGAACCATAAATTATTTGACGTATTATTAAACTAATCATTCAGATAATAAACCCTTAAATTGTGGATTTCGCACGAACGTTATCGGCCGGCCTCCAACAATTAGTGGACTCACCGCAAATTTTCGCCATACGAAGAATTTTCTAGGTGTTTTTTCTCTTGTTTTGTTTTGTTTTCCCTCTTTCTCGGTTGAATTAATTCATGTATTGGATAAATAGCTGAACAATCTTAAGACTTTAATCCGCCGTTTCCGTTTGCCGTTATTCATAGGTGTATTTATTCTTTCAAACTTGTTTTTTTTTTCTTAGTTCTTCCAGACGTTGGACAGAGCGCCTCGTTCATTGTCCGTGTTGTACGATGCTTTAGTTTGCATTCGCTTTGTGAGCGCGCTCCACGAGAAGTTTCATGAGCGTATCAACAAACTGAACGGTCATCTGGTGACAGACATCGGATCTGACAAGTTGGCTCAGGTAAGTTAACCGTTCTTCTTTGTGAAATGTTTGAAGTTAAAAGCAAATGAAGCATGAAACTTGGGAAATCAGTGCATCATCTCTTAAGCTATTTTTCCTCAGTTCACTTTTGATTGGGAGCTGAATGAAAGGTAAGGCAGGTGTTTCGTCAAGTCTCCCCAAACATTTCTCTGCCACCTCTCTGCACTTGTTGGTTAAGGGAGGCACTAGAAAAGTGTCTGCTCTTCCCCTCAAACTATCAGTTGTTTTAGTTTGAAATGCTAACTGTTGAGCTATTTTGTCTCTTAGATGTAAACTTTGTTAGCAGCATTACTTGACGAACTGTGCCCGTTTTAAAATTTAGAATGAACGTAGAATTTATAGAGATTTTAGGAGCATTCATTGCTATTTCTTTGTAATACTCTTTAGCTAATTTCAGTAAACTGTAATGTGGTCACCATACTCCTTTAACACTGCATAACAACTTTTGTTTCAGCTTCTGGACTCAGCCATGTTTACTTTTGAGGAACGTTTGAATGAAGGAATCTCTGGTACTGACGCGAAGGCAAACGGTGAAACAGCCGCGGACATAATGAAAGTCGTTAAGGAGGAAGTCCTTTTGGTAAGCTGCTTTACCCGACGCAACCTTCATCTTTGAGAAAATGACGTTGAAAAAATTTTTTATCCCCTTTACGGGGAAAAAGAGGAAATAGCCAAGTTGGTTCGTGATGTGGGAAGATTATTTTTTCAACTCTGTTAAGGTGTACTTCAACTGATCCTTGAGTTTGCTTTGGATGAAGTGATGCCATCACTTGGGGATAACTTGAATAGGAGCCTTCTACTCTTTGGCGCACATGGTTTTACTTAGTAAGCATTTTTGTCATAATTTTTTCCAATCCACAGAAATACGACGAGGACCAAAAAGTCGTGCTTGAAGAGTACTTGATGGAGTCAATGCTGTGCATGTTGGTGCCTCACACCCACAGCTTCACGGATGAAGTTTGCAAACCAGTAAGTGATGCCAGACGATGAAAAGTAACATGAACCCTTTAACTCCCGTGAGTGACCAAGACAGAATTTGTCCTTACAATTACAATGCAATATCAAGTAGGCAAGTGATGAGAATGGAGAAAAACAACAATTAGGGGTTTATTAGTTGATCTATTACCAAATTCTCCAACTCTGATCATAAGAATTGTATGGGGGAAAGTAAGGAGAATTACTGATGATATCTTGGGAGTGAAAGGGTAGCTCTACAGGGCGTGAAATTAACTTTCTTTTCTGATAGCCACTTGGCTCCTAAATTCTTCAAAGTGGTAGCCAATTCAAAAAAAGTTGGTCGCCATTTTCAAAGACAAACAAAATCTTTCTTTACTCTGTCAGCGTTCTAGATAGACCCTCTAAAATTAAGTTAGGGAAAAGATCTTTAACGTGCTACAAAGTGGACACTAGGATGTATGATATACAACTTTCAGGCTCATCTAAATCCAAGATGGCGTCTAGTTATCGATCGAGATGCATGTGCTACGTTTTGGAAACAAACTTAACGAGGAAGTTTGCCGCGGATTTATCTTTGCAAATTTATTTAATTCACTATATCTCTTGGTAAGGTTATGATGAAACGTTGTAGTCGCCAATTTGGCGACTAACTTTCAGGATTTGGTTGCCAAAGTGAAAAATTTAGTCGCATTGGCGCCTGTATTAGGCGCAATTTCACGCCCTTAGAGTCTAAGATTCTCTTATCAAGAAACGCATCGACTTATATTATGGGAGAAGCCTCCCCAATGAATTCTCGTATTTGCTATAGTTGTACTTAGCGTTTTCAATTAGTTTCAAAATTATGATTTCAACGGTTTTTGTTTCCCATGATCCTTTCTCTGATGATTTTTGTGATTTGTTACAGATGATCAAACCAGTGGAAAGTAGCATACCAGACCCCCTCCGTCAAGCAATTTCACTCAATGACAAATATGATACCTACGTGGAAACGAGCTTACGGGACACAATTAAGAAAGGTGAGTCAAACTTTTCACCAACCCAAGATCTACATATCAATTCTTGGCATATTCCTCGATACCTTAGAATTTTGTCTCTGAGAACACGATGTGAACAATATCGCCTCCTTTTTTGCGGATTACAAACAAGGAGCAGAAAATTGAACAGTCCCCTAAAATTTCTATAAACGTATAAGATGATTTTGCTTTAAACACTACTCACTTGCCTCCTACCCTCGAAAGCTCATAAACGTTTTCAATGATTTCAAGAAAGTGTCTAGTTAAAGTTAATCCTGATTATTTCATGTTACAGTTTGTGGCATCGGAGGTTCACCAGTGGCTCAACCAAGTGGCGAGCCCACAACCGAAGAAGAGAAGACCGTGGAACCGAAAGCCGATGAGCAGGCGAAAGACAATGATAAAACCTCGACTGAGCAACCCCAAGCTGAAGAGAAGGCCGGAGAAAAACCGGATGAGACCGCAAATGGGAACTCTGTAGAGGTCGAAGAGAAACCAAGTGAGGGCGACGAGAAACAGAATGAGCTTGAAGATAAGTCGAGTAAGGCCGACGAGAAACCAAGTGAGGACGAAGGGAAACCGAGTGAGGCCGAAGGTAAACCAAGTGAGGACGAAGGGAAACCGCGTGAGGCCGAAGGGAAACCAAGTGAGGACGAAGGGAAACCGAACGAGGCCGAAGAGAAACCAAATGAGGACGAAGGGAAACCAAGTGAGGATGAAGGGAGACCGAACGAAGCCGAAGAGAAACCGATTGAGGCTGAAGTGAAAACGGAAGAACCTGAAACCGAGAAATGTGAACTAACAACAGAGCTTTGAAAATTGCTGCCAAGATAACTTAATGTAGACAAGTAAACTCTTACTGAAATCCCACAATATACGGGGGCTGTACTGTTAGACTCTCTTCTTTCTACAACAGAATTTAAGTGTAGGAATACATTAACGAGAGTCGCCAGAAAGAAATAGGCTGTCAATTGCCTCACGAAGCTGTTTGAATGGGATGTTAGCTTATGAAACAAATTCGTATTCCTACTGTACAGTTACTTGAGTTCCACAGAAAATACCTCTCGAAACCATGGTTTAGTTGAGCAGCTCTTTTAAACGGTAATGGAAAAAAATTCATATGTGCATATCCGTTTTTCGAAGTATTTTTGTATTAACCACACTTTACACAGGAAAGTAAACTTAGAAATGAGTATTGGCGGCCATATAGTGCTTTCATCTTGTCCGAACAGCTCTCAGATTATGCATTTTATATTAAGAGGCAACTCGTCTGCCCTCGTCTAGAGGCATCGCAGGGCGTGATCCATCTTTATCTGACGTTAGCTTGAAACCGAAACTGAAAAACAGGTTTAAGAGTCACCGATCGGCAAGGTTTTTCCTCAGTCCTATGTGCAGGAGACGCAGGGGATGGCAGCTGACAGATCAAATTTTAGACCCTGAGGCAGGGCTTTAATGTCGAAATCCCTACTCAACGGGGAGTCCTCTCGGTCT